TGTCTGTCACACCTCCTTCCCTTTGTCGAGCCTTCTTTTAAAATAAAAAAACAAAGTAAATCCTTGGTTTTCACAACTTAAATTCATTTTAAGAAATGCAGGTAATCTTCTCTCTTGTAAATCCTAGTTAGCCGTCATCTATTTATAAAAACATATTTTTTTCTCAACACCTATACTGATATATTTATAAATAGTAATCTAATACGTTACTTAGGTAATTAAATAACTAATTGCCTAATTGGTACCCTAATGAGTAAATCCGATTCAATAATATTTTCTTTAAAATTTGAACTATGAAAGGCAAAAATCTTATGGAAATTACAAACTTCCTTGAAAAATACAACACAAACTTATGTTTAAATATGTAGAAAAAAAATAGTTTCTTGTACTAAAGCAGGCCTAACCTGGACGGCAAACCACATTAATTAGTTTAATCAATTTAATCAACTACTAATTAAATTTACTCTACCTTTTTGTTGTCGTCCTATAAATAAACTTATTAATGGAAATTAAATAGAATTTAATTAGAGAAAGTATCATGATGTCCCTTTTATAACTCAATAAATAAATTTAAAAAAAAGTATATTTGATCAATTATTAATTAACCCTTTAAAATAGAATTTTAATCACCATCTTAGCTTAAAAGCCTTAATGCACGTAACTACGTATACGTCCATATCATTTAATAATGTGACTTTTATAATTTAATAATTACTTTATTCTATTTTATTAACCTACTTGTTAATAATTAATTTGTTCCATTAATAATATTTTTGCCGGCAGGGACTTCTATAAATAAAATAATAAAGAGGAGATTACCCCACCAAATGTATAAGTGGTGAATAAATTAATTAAACTATATAAACGGTACTTAATTAAATTAAATAATGTTAGATTAGTATATAACTTAATATTTATGAATTAGTCTACATACCAAATTGACATGATTGAGGAAATCACCTTGAAAATAATAGGGAAGTTGACCCACAAGAAAATGGAAGTGATAGCGATTTAAATTTTAAAAAATCTGGTTGAACAGTAAAGTTGTCTCTGTGTGATTTATAAGTGACAAATTTGACTCGTGGAAGCAACTATTTATACTTGAATTACGATAGGTTGTCTTCATCGACTCATGGCACACCATAGATGCGGCTCTTTTCGAATTTTAATAACATGGAATGATTTGTACATCAGACTGTTCATTTTTCCCGAAAGGACAAAGGGGGTCCATTTTTATTTTTTAGTTTTAAAAAATAATTTCATTGTGACACTCATTAATTATGAGTGGAACGTCTACAAATCAATTATTAATTTAGACTATGATATGACGAACATTCCAATTTTCAAATATTGGATTCCATCACAACGTCATTTTCCATGCACTACTTGAAAACATTAGTGACTAAATCCTCTAAAAAGAAAATATTAAGGACCTTTTCATAAATTTAAATTAATTAAATATTTTTTTCCTATTTTTCTTTTTATATCCTTTTCACTTGTGAAATATTCATCGACTATTCCCTTTGGTGAAATAATTATATTTTAATTTATGAACCTTTTAAATCGCGACTTAAAAATTCGCTTTCAACATAATAATAGTTTCTTGAGTAAACATTAGACAATTATCTATAATTTTGTAAGTTATTTCAAATATTCAATTATAGTCTATAAGCAATAAATTAGTATTGTTGATTATCTATAAATTTGTAAGTTATTTCAAATATTCAATTATAGTCTATAAGCAATAAATTAGTATTATTGATTAATATACGAGAAATACAAGAAGCGGTAAAACAGTTCGAAAGATTAATTTCTCGAGGACTATATTTACACCAATTCTAAAAAATAGAATAAAACCTAAATGTCGCTTTTTTCCACTTGATGTTTTGTATATGTATTGAAGTCCGATTATTTTGTATTCGTATAGCGTAAGGCTCCGTTCAAAGAGAGGTGAATTATTTCATACCCTAAAACTCGAACCCGAGATAAAAAATGCCACTTTCACTTTGAAACCTTCATTGATTTTCACTAGCAAAAGTTTGACTAGTTTCTGTGACAAATATAAGAATCTTTTAATTGATCATAAAGCATAGTTTCTTGTTTGAATTATTTTATTATTAATACATTGCCAAATGTTAAGGGAAGAATATTTATGATAAATTGTTAGCGTAGAATAGGGATTTTCTATTGTAGCGGGGCCAAACTTTTATTAAAGAAAATGTAGCTGACTTTATATTATTTATTTGGAGAAAATTAGTTATCCATCTTGTCAAAAAAAAATAAAAAATCGAAAGAGATTATATGAACTAATGTATTGTTATTCATAGTTTATCAGATTCCAAAATAAAACGTCTTAATTAGGTGAAAAACAATACTAAAATAAGTAATGTGGTAAAACTATAGAATGATAACAATTTCTTTCGCTCTTAGTAAAAAATTAATTGAAGCTCAGATTCTAATAACAAAATCATAAATAAAGAAAGATAAATCTTTTTTATATTTAACTAATTATTTATTTGTAGGAAAAAAAAAGATTTGGAATTTCTGTAAATTGAGGATTTTAGCTTCCTTCTCACCTCATAGCATCTTATTCTTTCGAAAAATTTTGTACTCTATGATATCTGATTATTTTGATCTTTAGAAATTACGATAGTTTTTAAATATATGATTTATATATTTATATATAATCCTACCTTCTTAACCTTTATTGTTTCTTGTTATTTTTTTTCTTTTCTATTTTTAGAAAAGAAGTTATATAAAATCCAAAGATATTACTACTACCAAACCTTATCGTTATCATATTTTCATGAAGCATTTCATCACTATTCCAAAAAGTCTTATGGGTGAAATCGTCATTATATTAGTTTGTTTGTTGTTATGTTATGGCCAACAAATAATATTACTATATTATATCACTTTAATTCATCACCTACAACCGAAAACATATAATAAATATTATTAATAATAATAATAATAATAATGTTATATAACCACCGCAATCCTCATCACAACTTAATTGTCCATATGCAAGGAGCAAACTACAACTTTTTTTTTTCTCCGAATATTCAATATCTATACTGAAGTTTCGACTAAATGAAAGTCATGTCATATTATATCTTTTTAAATTTTATTTCACAAGTTAATAAAACCGGTATATGTGAATTCAAAAATATAAAATTCAGATCCAACTGCTCGTGAAGTAAAAAAATATCTCACACAAACTATAGTCACTTCTATAAAATGCAAACTACTATTTTTTTCTCCTTCTTCGGGGTCGCTCAAATGATTCAACTTGCGACTTTCATAATGGAGGTCTCAAGTTCGAAACCCCTTACTTACGATACCAAGAATTTTGGTCTTCTGAATCAAATTCATCACACGTAACTTGTCTAATTTACTTCTCCTATGTAGTTTCCAAACTATACCATAAAAGCATGATTTACCTCGTGTACACTCGAAGAATAGCGATTACGAATTTTCTTTCATCGATTTCTTTTTTTAAAGATAAGTGTGTCAGGTTGGAAGTTGGAACTTTTTAATACTTGGCTGCTAATGAGTGAGTGTCATGTCAAAATGTCCAATCTATATATATGCATAATCTAATGGATTGCAGATTTAATAACAGCAAATAAAAATGGGCCATTAGAATAGGGCCCAATTTGCTCAGGCCCTTTCATCCACAGGCCTGCACTTTGTATGACAAGACCTCCATTGTCAGAATCATTTTTTAAAAAAAATTCCTAAAAAATATTTTTTTTTTGCATTTAGATTTTCAAAAAATATATCGATATCTTACTTAATTACGAAACGTAGTAGTATTTTAATTCTAAAATGTAGAGGAATACATTGTATCAAGAGGTATATAGTATATATATAGCGGAAATATACATTATTTGCGTGTTGTATTTGTGTACTTAATAATTGTATTTTCATGTATACAATATCTTTGGGTAATTGTATTTGTGCAGATTGTATCTATGAGTATATACATTATTCACGTGTTATATTCATGCACTTAATAACTGTATTTTTGCATATACAATATCTTTGTGTAATTGTATCTGTGCAGATAATCAGTGTATTTGCGCGTATCTATTACTAAACCTCAATTTATCGCGATATTATATATGAACTGACAATATTTTATTTTTCTTGAAATGTAGAACATATAGGAAGATAAATCGTCTAATGAAAAAATTAATTTGACATCTTTATTGTAATAGTATTTCCTGTTATGTTTTTAGGTAAATTACTATTAATTGACTTTTATTTAGAAAATAAATGACTTTTGCTTCTTTTCTTTTCATTGGTCAACTATAATCTCTTTTAAGATTTATATTTAAGGAAAATTATCTAATTTAATGAGCAATTTCAAAGCTTATATATAAGCTTAATACAGTAAAAATATCATATTATTACATATACAAAAAATTAGCAAATTAGAGGTATGTAACCTACAGTATCGAGTAACTTTGTTCACTAAAAAAAAATTGATAGATTATAAAAATCACCTAGCAATTTTTTCTTTTTGTGATATTATTAGATAAATGATTCAAATTTGATATTTTTATTTGAATGTATTGATTTTTATTTTAAAGTGAAAATGCAGAAAATGTGGAGATATATGGTTGCTTTGTTGTTATTCATTGTAGCTGATTGTCATCCTCACAATGGGTAAGTCTCTAAATTTTTATTCAACGGAAAATGGTTAAAATTGCCCTTATACTATTTATCGAGGAGTATTTTTGTCTCTCGTTAAAAATTGATTGAGGAGCATTTTTATCCCTCGATAGAAATGGAAAATGGTCAAAATTGTCCTTGACCTTTTTTCGTTTCAATTTCTTAATCCATGTTTCTTGACACTATATACAAGATATATGATTTTTGAGAGTTACTTGACCTTTTTAGTATAATGTGATTGGGAAAATAATTGTTTTAGTCCCTGTGTTATTGCCTTATTTTGATTTTGATCCCTGTGATATCTTACTTCCCAAGTTTAACCTTTAATTAATTATAATCAATTATTTTAGTCCTTCTACTAACGGTGATAACCAATACAAACAGATTTGTTATTTCTGTCAAGGGCAATTATGGCACTTCACATAATATTATATTAAAAAAAAATCAGATTCACGTGACAAACACATTTCACAAGAAATTGTTCTGTCCAAAGTAAAGTGTTGAATTGTAAAAGTTAAGTGTTTATAATATTACTTTCTAAAGCTCTTTCTCTCTCCATGTCTTTGTAGATTTTTAACTTCTCTTCAAATGAGAAAATTTAATCAATTCTTGATGAAATTTCAAGAGAAAAATCATAGAGGAGCTCATATTGGAGTGATTTTTGCTCAAATTATGTCAAATTTTGATTTGTGTTAGCCATTTTTTTATTCGAGGCAGAGGTATACTTTCTTTTCGTCCCTCTTCCATCTTCTTTTTACAGGCTTCGATCAAGTTTTTTATTTTTGAATTCTATTATTTTTATCTAATTTTTTGATTAAGGAAATTAGTGTTTTATCTGATTTGATATCTGAAACTTTTTCTTACAAAAAAATTATGAGCTCAAGATTAAGGTGGGTAAAATTGCAGTAACAATTAGTATTGGCTTTTCAACTTTAGAATTAATCATTTTCTGCAATATGAATTGTGAAATCTATGAATTAATCATAGTCTTCTTTATAATTTTGAATTGTTATTGGAGCTGAAAGAAGTTAAACAAGTGACAACCTAAATTGCTCTTTGTCTCTTCAAAAATGTCAATTAGAATCTCCTACAATCATGTTTGTCGACCAAGACGGCAAGACCTGTATGCTGTATTCATAGCTAGTCATAAACCTCAACCTATACTATGTTTCTCCTTAGTTACTCATGTAATTAAGAGCAAAATAAGACTTGGCGTATTGAGAGAAAGGTGGGCCTTGAAAAAACTAAATTGTTATTTGGCAGTGAAATATGAAGGTACATCCAAGAATACTAAAAAACTACTAGTTTGTACATTTGTCCTTGAGATACTAAAATTGCCCAGTTTGGCTAGGTAATTACAAACTGCTAGATTAGACTTTCTACTAATAACTCCTCCTTCTTTATCTTGTAATAGGGCTTCTTCAGTCCACGTTGGAGGGAGCTGCAAAAACTTTACTTCATTTAGTGTGGCTCTTTTACATCCTTCCATCGCTAGTATGTGAGCCACTTTGTTGCCTTCCCTAAATTTGTGTAGGATGATTGTATAGGCTGATTAGGTTGAGAAGATACCATTGGGGTTAAAGGACCACGTGATGAAGTCTGAGGGACTAAGGTAATCTTGAACAATAGCATTACTGATCCTATTTTGGACCTCTTGAGGGAAAACAAAGGAGCAGTTTGTGAGTTGATTATCAATGCACACGATAACTATATGTCTACTTTTTTATTACACATCTTTCACTTGCTTTTTTCCTCTAATCATATCCTGGATTAGGCGTTGACTATTTCAAGCTAATTGCGTTGTTGTTTTCAGGTTTGGTGAGTGTTTGTAATAACTTTTAGAAAGAATTGCAACAGAGATAAGGTGGTACATCTCTCTACATGAACATTTATAGAGATCTCCACAAGCCTGCTCTCGTAATTGAAGGACGCTTTGTATTAGTGGTAATAATCCTCTCTCCTCTCTTAATTTTTTTCAGCATCTCAGATACTATACTAATTTGGTAGTGAGTATTCAATTTAGGTATACGTTGAGAATCAATTGAGATAACCTGTGAAATGCACTTAGTTTTTTGAATTGTTAATTGAGATTTATATCAAGGAAATAAAGTTCTAATTAGACATAAAATTATATGATTTTGGTGCTCTTTGAAATTAAATCGATAGGCTAAAGCAACTCAGTAAACTGATTATTTTTTAACTTAAAGCTGATCCAAAGTTTCTAAATTAGTAACTTCAATCAGCCATGAGCATGATTAACTTTAAAGTCACAGAGAAAAAACTAGCTCTAATTCAACTACATATTGTCATCAATTTTTTGTAACTTCTTTGTTCAAGGAACATTTTTCTTTTTGGCTTGTGGGTTACTTCTCAATCTCTTGCTACTTTGAGAAAGTGCTTCTTGTAATCTTGATGGTGGGACATATTGTTTTCCCATTCTCTCGATGAAAAGTGGTCTTGTACCTTCTCTGGAATGGTCGCCTGTTTCTTCTAAAACGAATGCAGAACTCCTCAATTGATCTTGTGATACCCTTGGTTGTTTGTTAAGTTGATTGACCTACAATATACAAAGAAAATAAGTCAGCTTTTAAGATTTGATACAAATAACATATGTCGAGAACAAGAAAAGGTAATTACAATTTGTTCAGTAACAAATGAGGAGCTGGGCTGCATTGATATCACACTCTCAACAATGGTGTTTGAAACCTACAATAAGAAAATATGTTTAATGTTATTATCCTTGTGAAGTGAATCAACTTATTTGATTACTTACTTCTGTTGCTGCATTACTAAGTGTAGAAGGGCCTTCTTTTTCGACTTGTTGATGGACTGGTTGTTGTTGAACTTCAGAGTGGTTACTTCCCATAAGAATAGGGCACTTTCTGCTATTGTGCCCTAATTTTCCACATGATCCACACTTCTTTTTTCTGCCTTTTCTTGATGTTTTTAACAAGGTATGCTTTCTAGAATCTGATTCTTTTTGAGTTGTCTCATCAATTCCTCTCTTCCTTAGTTTTCTTGGTCTGCCTGGTTGTGCTTTATATATGGGTGGCAGAGGTGGTTCAATCCCTGTCTTAGGCCATTGCTCAGTGTTAGCAATTGGCAAGATGGATGGACTATAACTTTTCATATACTGCTCAACTGTGTAGCATTCATGAACATATATATCGGGCTCATCCTTCTTAACCCATATAGCTGCAATAGCATGACTACAAGGAATTCCTGTTAAATCCCATCTCCTACAAGAACAGGTTTTCTCCTTAAGATCGACAGAGAATAGTCTAAGATAGATATCCTCAATTTGATAGTGGAATTGGTCAGATTTAATGGCAATACATTCAACAGCTTTTGCCTTATTTTTCTCTAGCTTTAACATGATTTTAGGGCAGATTCGTTGGCAATACTTCATCATTTTGTCTCTATTCTTTTGAAGTCTGGACATCATATAGATCCTAATTAATTCAAGCATTGTCAAAATATACTTATCTCTTGCATGTAGAAGTACACTGTTGAATGACTCACACAAGTTGTTTAATAAAACATCACATTTTGGAAAAGAAGAAAAAAAAGCCCTTGACCAGTGAATGGGAGGTTTATTAATAAACCATTCAGGGGCTTTTGAATCTAATTTTGCCATCTCTTCCATATGCTTGGAGAATTCAGGTTCTGTTGTTGCCCTGGCAGCTTTCCATAGGATATCTTTCATTGTTTGTCCTCCAAAACCTTCAGTTTTGAAATTATTGTGTAAATGCCTCACACAAAATCTATGCGCAATATCTGGCATTATCTCATCAAATGCTGGTATTAGACCTTTTTGCTTATCAGAAATGAAAGTCCATGCAAAAGGATTTTGTGAGATTCCTAAGTCTTCATCAAGAAGTGTAAGAAACCAACTCCATGTTTCCTTCAATTCACCTTCCACTACTGCGAATGCAATAGGATATATGTTGTCATTTCCATCAATGCCTACTGCTGTCAATAACTGACTCCCTTTTTGGTGCCCTTTCAAATGACATCCATCAACCCCTATTATGGGTCGACATCCAGCTAAAAATCCCTGTTTGCAAGCTGCATAACACATATAGAGTCTTAAAAATCTTTTTCTGCTATTGACCATTGTTTCTGGACTTTCATCCAACTTCAAGATACATGTAGTCCCTGGATTACTTCTCCTTAGCTCAGCACAATAATCCCATAACATATCAAATTGCTCTTCTTTAGTCCCTGTTATTAGATCTAATGCCTTCTTCTTTGCCATATAAGCTTGATTTCGAGTAATGGTACAATTATGAGCCCTCATCACATGAGTTTGAAATTCTTTTACTCCCCAACTTGGATTAATTCTAAATTCTTCTACGTACTTCTTAGCTAAAAAACCAGAGTCGATAGTCTTGTTATCTCTTTGATTGCCACAAGAATGGCCAGGGCCTATTGTCTTGATCTTGAAAGGTTCATCTTGATTAGCCTTTGATGCAAATATGAACCATTTGCAATTTGACACCTTACAAGTTGCCCTCGATCTTGTACTTTCATTCTTTTTGAACTTGATGTCTTTTTTTTGTAACACGGCTTGCACCTCAACTGCCCACTTGAATTCTTTGCTATTACTGAAAATCATATTAAGCGCAAACTTAAATTTTGGATCCTCCAAATCCCTAGTTGGATTAAAAACAATGGTTCTTTTAAGATTTTCATCATCCGAATCTCCATGTAAACTCATTAACTCCTCATCTGATGTAGCACAATCGTCTTCTTGAGTGTCGTTAGGAAACATAGCCGACATGTTTGAGGCAACTCCAAGCTCTATAATTTTTTCTTTATCTTGATTATCTTTATTTTTCCCATTGAAACCAACCCATTCTACAGTAGAGTCGATGGTTTTATCAAAAATCACATCATCTTCCTCCATTGAATAATCAGAGTCATGAAATGACTCACATTCTTCACTTGTGGCATCACTCTCATCACTTTTCTCTATTATATTCACATCTATCAAACCTTCTTCGTCCTGTAATGGGCTCCCCTCAGAATCAACCACGTCATAGTTCCATTGATCCTTATCTGTGTGCTCAACAAATATTTCCACCTCTCTACTGTCAGGCATTTCATTGACAAGGTTATATATATCTAAATCAGTTGATAAATGCCTTATATTTGTCTCAAAATAAGGTCCGGACTTGAACCAAAATTTCACTTTCCTATCATTAACTTTCAGCCTTTTCATACACCTTCTCATTTGAATGATGGAATTTTCATCTCCCTTGCAATAATCATAATAAGCAATCTGTCCATCAACATAGTTCATCACTGGCTCAAAAACCCACCAACCCTTATAATATAGCTTGATAGTGTACATATTTGAATCTTCACCTTCATCTGTTGTGCGGAAAAAAAAAAGAATGTATTAGAGTTACTATAATAAATAGCTCTAACAAAAAATGTAAATGATACAAATTCAACAGAAAACCAATACAAGTAGAATCATCACTGTATTGTGTTTACAGAAAACCAATACAAGCATAAAATTAGACCCAACATGCTAATGACAATAACAATATATTCATATTATAATCTAGAATATATTTTAAAAGATGATTGATTATATAGAATCCAACAAAATTATATTGTTGCATTAGTAATCTTATAACTAAATTTACTCGAAGATTGCCATGTAATCTAAGGTTTTTATTTCTTTTTATCAATCAACATTGAAGATTATGCTAATTAATAAATTGATCAAATACTTACACGTTGGTGTGAATTGTAGCCCACTCTTATAACGGAGTTTCATTGTCTAGCTAAATGATTTTGTCTTTCTTCAACAAGTGCACTGAATTATTGTAGGTGTAACAAGAGGAGTTGCTAAATTGTGTTCTCACATAAGAGGGGATGCAACTAAAGAGAATAATTGCTCATCAATCAACAAATAGTATGCCACTTTCATCACTGTATTAGAGGATTGACATCCTAATGGAAGAAGGGTGGAGGGCTGAATATGATTGTGTATGAGAAAAGATGTTATGGAACGATTTGTGAACTTCATATTTTTAGGTTTTGCTTTCGGTATAAAAGTGTTTCTTATTGTGAAGTGCCATAATTGCCCTTGACAGAAATAACAAATCTGTTTGTATTGGTTATCACCGTTAGTAGAAGGACTAAAATAATTGATTATAATTAATTAAAGGTTAAACCTGGGAAGTAAGATATCACAGGGATCAAAATCAAAATAAGGCAATAACACAAGGACTAAAACAGACGAAGATTGACAACAATGCCCCCAGTCAAATTGGACAAACAACCTAAACAAGTAAAAGCCTATGTTTAGCAAATATTTTTTTTCTCTATATGTTTACATCTTTTAATTATGTGCTAATTATTTTTGTGATCCCTATTCATAGCAGACATAAATTCAGAATTTAAATTTTACAGGTGACTATAAGTAATAGATTCATTAATATTACTTTATCAACACCAGATGGCCAAGTCATTGGCATATCATATGGTGGAGTTCAAAATATATTATCCATCCAAAATGATGAAACCAATAGAGGGTAATTAATTAATCTATAAACTTTGATTAATTATTTAAATTTTTGTTTCATGTAGAAATTAATTACTAATAATACTTAATTATATCTATTTCAGGTATTGGGATACTGTTTGGAGTAACACTAACCCTCGTTCAAGTTTTTCACAAAAGTAAAGTTTTACCTTCTTGTCTCGAATTAATGTTTGACAAAACAATTAAAAACAACAGCTCGATACACTAAGCTTTAATTTCGTTATGTTGGGGTATAATGAAAGAATGAACTACAATGTAATGATTTATCTTGCATTTCTACCAGAGCTAGTTTCATAGTTTGAATTCGTACGTAACATCATGGATAATTGAAAATTATTGTTATCTCTTTTTTGGGGATATATTTTCACTATTATAAAATGTGAATTTCCAACGAACGTTACAGTAGAAAATTCCACCGAAAGCATTTCTAATAAGCCAATTTGTGATGGAAGCTATTGAAAATATGTGTTTGTTATTACTATAGTATTTTTTAATTGTCTGATACTCACTGACACTATAAGTTCACATTTGTGTTGCGTAGATCTTATTAAAGAAAGAAATGTTCTCTATCAAGGGTTTGTCATTCACAAGACTTGTCCTCGAGACTTATGATGATTAAGAATTGAAGGATTCTATCTGTACGACAATAAAAAATTGAAATTAAGTCCAATATACTTTTGGTTTTGCAGGTTTATAGGAACAAGTTTTGAGGTAATAATTCACAATGAAAACCAGACAGAACTTTCATTTAAAAGAAAATGGAATGCTTCTCAATCAAATCAACCTCCCTTAAACATTGATAAAAGGTAAGTATTTCTTTTATTAAAATTATATTTTACACGACTCTGATAGCGCAAAAATAATGTTACATTGTCAAAACGTACAATCAAACTTCTGTATAATGACGTTGTTTCTCTAGTTATCTTTTGGTCGTTAGAGCAATATACTGACTAATAGAGAATTAATTTTAGGTTTATAATACTACGCGATACACCAGGATTTTATACGTATTCGATCGTTGAACGTTTAAAAGGATGGCCAATTTCGTCTATACAAAATATCAGGCTTGTGTTTAGACTTCAAACAAACATGTATGTATTTTTTTTAATCTAAATTTTCTCAATAATTGATAAAGATATAATTTTTTCAAAAAATAAATATATAGTATATTGACATTGTATATCTATGTATATAGGTTTAATTACATGGTTGTTTCTGATGAGAGGCAACGTGTCATGCCAACAGACGTGGATCGAAACAAAGGCAAAGTTCTTGGCTACAAAGAAGCTGTTCTTCTCACTAATCCGACTAATCCAGATTTAAAAGGAGAGGTACGATTCTGTAATAATAATAAACTTATAACTCGACTAATTCATATTCATATCATGCGAATTAACTCAATAAGTATATATAATCCACTTCATAACTCGACCTTCAAATTCAGAATTCATAAACTTCAAATACTGATTTTGTTTTTGACTATATATTCATGACCATTGCCTTTGACTAAGGGTACGTGGAGAGATATGATCATATTCATCCTATCACAATTTCTGATGGTAACAATAGTCGATAACATGATTTTTTCCCCATATAATTATGTAGGTGGATGACAAGTATTTCTATTCAAATGATGATAAAGATGGTAAAGTTTATGGATGGATTAGTAGTACTAATCCTCCATTAGGATTTTGGATGATTAATCCAAGTAATGAATATCGTATTGGAGGACCTCTTAAACAAGATCTTACTACACATGTTGGTCCAACTGTACTTACTGTAAGTCATTAATTAATTAATTACTCAATTAATTTCTATAATGTTTTTTTTAGTGTAGAATTATATTAATTAACTTTTATTTATTTATTTATAATTGCAAGGTATTTTGTAGTACACATTATGCTGGAGAGGATTTAGCAATTAAATTTGGACAAGGAGAAGCATGGAAAAAAGTTATTGGTCCTGTTTTTGTGTATCTAAATTCAAATGCTGCAGCTAAGGCAAATCCTTCCATACTTTGGAATGATGCAAAGAAAAGAGTATGTATTTGATTTCAGTTTACGTGTCTTACTTTTCTTTTTAGTCCGTTTTAGAAAAAAAAAATCCATTATCTATATTTGGTACTCCTTTTAACTCCAACACTTCACATGATCCAACTGTTAAGCTATTATCTGCTTTGAGTCTAGACATCTCATTTAGATTTGTGTCTTTGGATTTGACCCTAAAGACAACGTAGCTCAGCAGTTACGCTAATTCTGAACTCATTTTTATAATAAGGTTCCTAACTTTATTTTGATGTGAGATTCAATTAAGATGTGATGTGCACTCTTTCTTCAAAGGCTTATTTTCTATCCCGGGCGTCACATTTTTATATATTATACATATTTTGTAAACTTCGTGTCAAATCACATTAACCAAATATACAGATGAATCAAGAAGTTGCAAGTTGGCCTTATGAATTTGCACTTTCAAAAGACTACATCAAATTTAATCAAAGAGGAACTGTTAGAGGCCAACTATTTGTTAATGACAGGTAGGTCTTTTTCACTTTATGAGATTATACCGAACATGTTATTATTGTTATAATAATATCTATTTGTTAACCGATTAATATTTTTTTTTGTGTTTTTATTTTATAAGGTTTATCAGTAAACAAAATGTGGCAGCATCCAATGCTTATATAGGATTAGGGCCACCAGGAGAAGCTGGATCTTGGCAAAGAGAAAACAAAGTAAGGTTAATTAAATATAATATTTATAAAAAAAAATTGAAGAAAATTTTAATTATGTAAATTTATTAATCTTTTTTATTTCATTACGTTTTATAATCTACAGGGTTATCAATTTTGGACTAAAACCGACAATAAAGGAAACTTCATCATAGAAAATGTCATATTCGATACATATAACTTGTATGCAACAGTTCCAGGTTTTATCGGGGAGTACAAATACACTTCAAATATAAAAGTTACTCCAGGTTAATTTTATTTTCTTTCTTAATTACTCATTTGTTATTGTTTCTTAATTCTAAACCATAGTTTCTAATTTTTTTTGGAACAAAAATATAGGTTCAAATATTAAATTAGGTACTTTGATTTATAAACCTCCAAGAAATGGAGCTACAATTTGGGAAATTGGTATACCAGATAGAACTGCTGCGGAATTTTTTATTCCAAATCCACCTTCACAATTCAAAGTTCACAAATACAAAAATAATTCTGAATCTAAGTAAGTTTCAATTTTTTTTTTCTTATATATTAAAATATTAATTAATTGTAATTTTTGTTGTTGTTTATTTACTCTAAATTTTGGTTTGCAGATTTAGACAATATGGTTTGTGGGAACAATATGGTGTTTTATATCCTAAAAATGATCTTGTCTACAATGTTGGGACTAGCAATTACTCAAAAGATTGGTTTTATGCTCAAGTTACTAGGTAAGCTCGTTTATACAATCAAATCTCTTTATAATAACGTCATTTGCTTCAATATGTTTTGGTTGCTATAGACTAGTAAATTATTGTTATGTACATAGAACATAACATGAAAGATCAGTTCCATAGAAAGCCTAACATGAATGATTATTAATTAATAATAAAAAGGTCCGACTGTATATATATATCGACCATTTTTTTTACAATCATTAGATAAATTATTTTAATAAAAGATTAATTGATGTTTTTTTTTTGCAGGAAAATAGGAAATAAGACATATAAAGGTACTTCATGGAAAATTATATTTAACCTTGCCAATGTTAATATTGCCTCAAATTACACTCTCCAATTGGCTCTTGCTGCAGCTCATGAAGCTGATCTACATGTATGTATTTATATTCCCTTTAATTTCTTGACTTCTTATTTCGAACATGTGTGATGTTGTTCGGATTTTTAAAAATATTATCGATATGATAATATTTTTATAAATATAAGTACGATATTATTATTAGAGAATTCGAGCAGTCTAGAACATATTATGTTTTTAACTAACTAAAGTTTATTTTTGGTTGTTTTTTTCTTAAGGTTTATGTCAACGATGAAAAAATACAAAAACCTCATTTTTCGACAGGACATATAGGAGGAAGTAATGCGATCGCAAGACATGGAATTCATGGATTATATTGGCTTTATAGCATTGGAATACAAGGCAAATTGCTTGTCAAAGGAACAAACACAATTTTTCTTGTACAATCAAGCGGTCTCTCCCCTTTTGAAGGTGTAATGTATGATTATATTCGTTTTGAAGGACCTCATCAGTAATAAGATGGTTATTTTCTTGGATTCATTTATCTTTTATTTTTAAATTTATTTATTATAAACGCTATATTTAAAAGTGAAAGAATGATAAGATCCATAAGATTAGTTAAAATAAAAAATGTGAAAAGTAGCATCCAATATATATATTTTTATTTACTATAAAGATGAATACTTTTTCAATTCAACTTTTTTCGGGCCTTTGAGAATCTAACTTTTTTTTTGGTTACTTATTTGGAGTCTGAAATTTACTAGTCCGATTAATTCAAATTTATACAATGTCATTATAAAAAAAAAGAAAAATTATATAAAACTATAACTTAAGATATATACAAAAGTTCCCTCTCGGATACAATCCTATCCCCTCTCAGATATATCCTCCTATTAAGTAATGTATCATTTACAATGTATCGGACAACCAAGGAATGTATCTGAAATCAATGAAAAATCTGAAATTTTTGTAATTGAAAAAACTTCCGAGAAATGTATTTAGCCCCAAAAATATATAAAATTTGCGTACGTTATACTGAAAAAAATGGCAATTACTAACGGACATTCCATAGAAAATTTATTGGAATAATTTTTGCCTTCAATATATACAATAATGATGATACAACCACCATTCTAATAACTCACAACTCCTAATAGTTATCATATAATATGAATTTCTCAAATATCATCAAATAACTTCAATCACAACATTTTGCATAGTTATTATTTCAGAGTAGTAAAATTAGCTCATAAAAATATAATTTGTTTGAGTTGTTTAATTATGGATGAGTTATTGATTAGTTCATTTATCAGCTTAGGTCATTTAAGCTCATTGAAATTAGCTTGATGTGTAGCCCAATTCGACACATAAGAAATTTCATTAAATTATTTTCATTTTTTTTGTTTTGACATGTTATATCGAGCTGTAATAAAAAATAGTTTTTATTATGTACTTAAAAGAATATAAAAGTAGAAACAAAGAAATTTAAAATTGGAAAAATTACTTAAATACATAACTTGTTTTTATCATATTTTCTAAAATTTTCTATCATTTCAAAAAATTATAAAAATCCCTACTCTTTCCTATTCTCAGATACATTACTTTACGTGATGTATCGGTCGGATACATCACTTTACACGATATATTGGGACGTTGAGTGATGTATCCGAAAATTGAGATGCGATATATCAGGACGTTGAGGAATGTATCGAAACCGGGACGCTATGTATCAGGTCATTTTGAGATGTAGTTGAATTCCATGCACCAAATTTAAAGGATTTTTGTAATTTGGAAAAGAGCAGAGAGAGGATATAATTAGCTTTTAACTCTATAAGGTTTGTGTAAAATTCCCATAAAATTTTGTAAGAATTAGCCAGGTTAGATTATGAATTGTATATCAGACCAAGTTACAATTGACCCGCCCACTTATTAACTCGGTCCATTTTAAGTTTTTAACCCATTCTTTCTTAAATTCAGCACGATCCGCTCATTTGACACCTCTGATTTTACTCCTTATTTATGAAATTCCCCCTTTTGAAATCGATGAACTGGCAATATTTTATTTTTCTTGAAATGCAGAACATATTGAAAAGGAAATCTAATAAAAAAAATTGATTTGGCATTTTATTGGAATACTATTTAGTATTTACTTTGTTTTGAAGCTAATTTATTGTCTACTATAATTACTTGACTTTCCTTGAGAAAATATGACTTGTTTCTTTCATTTTTATTGGCCAAATATAATCTCCTTTAAGATTTAGCTTTAAATGAAAATTATTTAATTTAATGACCGAATTTCAAAACTTATATAAAAGCATAATACAGTACAAATATTATATTTACATTTACAGAAGATTAGCAAATTAGAGGTATGCAACTTCTTTTCTAATTTTTTCTTTCTTTTTGTTATTCTATGGATCAATTTTCATGTTTTTTTCCTCATGACAGCGAGATCTGGACTAACTTTTATACATCTCGATTATTACATCAATATCGGATATAACTATGTTCATTAAGGATTTGATAGACGAAAAAATCACCTAGTATTTTTTTTCGTGATGTTATCAAATTTTATATTTTTAATTGAATCTATTAAATTTGTTTTTAATAGTGAAAATGCAGAAAATGGGGAGATATAAGAAATTATTAAGTGTACATGTGTTGGAGGTGACTATGGTTGCTTTGTTGTTCTTCCTTGTAGCTGATTGTCATCCACACAATGGGTAAGTCTATGTTACTTTTATTCGACGGAAAATGGTCAAAATTGCTCCTATACTATTTATCGAAAAATATTTTTGTCCTTCATTAAAAATTGAGGGGTTTTAAATAAGATCTTTTGTTTGTTTGTGATGTTGACACATGACAGAAATGTTTTTTAGAGTTTTGTTAGTTGAAATCTGAAAGAAGGCATAAATGCCCTACTTTTGTCACAACAAGGGCATAAAATTTCCCAATATCTAATGTAGGGCAAAAGTAGGGGCAATCTTGGTACAATGTAAAAGATGACTTTCAAGAGTCACATAACCCCTTTTAGTATAATGTGCAATGTAAGAGATCAATTGCGAAATTGATCTCAAAATTGGACCCTAATAATAGTTATGACACTTATTTCCACACATAGTTACATAAAGATCTATTGTTAGAAGGACATTTGAGTCGAGTCGAGTCGAGTGATTCAATTAAATCATAAGCATTTATCTAACTTCGTTATTTTTTTGTTCTAAAAACAGACGAAGATTGACAACAACGCCAACACTCAAATTGGACATACAACCTAAACAAGTATAAGTTTACACCTTTTAATTATATCTTAGTATAAGATAAAATACTTAATATTTACACGCTAATTAATTTTGTCATTCCCTACTGATAGCCGATATTAATTTAGAATTTAAATTTTACAGGTGACGATGAGCAATGGCATCTTCAATACTCCGTATAACTTTATCAATACCACATGGTGATGTCACTGGTATATCATATGGTGGGGTCCAAAATCTACTATCCACCCACAATTTAGAAACCAATAGAGGGTAAATTAATTAATCTTTAAACTTCGATTGACAATTTAGATTTTTATCTAATGTAGAAATTAATTACTTATAATACTTTATTATGTTTATTTCAGGTATTGGGATATTATTTGGAATAACACTGGACCTCGTACAACTAGAGCAAAGTAAGTTTTATCTTTCTTGTCTCAAATTAATTTTTGATGAATTTAAGGACAATTTGGTGTACTAAGTTTTATTAAGGATCTATTGATACAATTTTTTTCTGCATTTCTGTAAGAGTCTGTTTCATAGCTTGAATCCTTGACGTCTTGAACAATTGAAAATCATTATTATCTCTATTTTTGAATATGTTTTCATGTGAATTTCCAAGGACGTTATACATTAGAACGAAGAATATTTTTCAATAGCCCGATTTCTAATAGAATCTACTGATAATTTGTGTTTGTTAGTGCTGTAGTACTTTTTTTTTGTCTGATACTTACTGACACTATTAGTTCAGATTCATATTGCGTAGAGTTCCTTAAAGAAAGAAATTAATTGTTCTCTGAAGGGTTTGTCATTCACATGACATTAATATTGAACCCGACACTTACGATGATTAAGGACGGAAGGATCATATTCACACAACATTAAAAAAATTGAAAATTAAGTTCAATATACTTTTGGTTTTGCAGGCTTTCAGGAACAAGTTTTGAGGTGATAATTAATAATGAAAATCAGACAGAAATTTCATTTAAAAAAACATGGAATGCTTCTCAATCAAATGAACCTCCCTTGAACATTGATAAAAGGTAAGTATTTTCTTTTTTTCAAAATTATATTTTATGTGATTCTAATAGCGCAAAAATAATGTTGTATTGTCAGAATATACGGTCAAACTTCTTTATGATGACGTAATTTCTCTAGTCATCTTTTGGTTGCTATAACAATATATTGATAAATAAAAAATAATTAATTTCAGGTTTATAATGCTACGCAACACTCCTGGATTTTATACGTATTCGATCGTTGAACGTTTAAAAGGATGGCCAATTTCGTATATACAAAATCTCAGGCTTGTGTTCAAGCTTCAAGGAAACATGTTCGTATTTATTTATTTTATATCTAAAATATCATTAATGAAAAAGATATTTCTTTTAAAATGTCTATTTTAATTTTGAATTGGATAAAACATATATATAGTATAAAGAAATTGTATATTTATGTATATAGGTTTCATTATATGGCTGTTTCTGATGAGAGGCAACGTGTCATGCCAACAGAAATGGATCGAAAGGAAGGCCAAGTGCTTGACTATAAAGAAGCTGTTCTTCTCACTAATTCGACTAATTTAGATTTAAATGGAGAGGTACGATTCTATAATTAGTATAAATTTACATATTCGACGAAGTCGTTTTTTCACACATATATAGGGTTATTGATCCGAAGCTACAAGGTTTGAGTAAATCCCTGGCTAGCTAGTACTATATGCAAGTCTAAAGCTAGCTAGCATGGAAAGTACAGGTTTGACAGAATCCAATATGTTTATTGAGAAATTAATTGAATATGTATATATGATCCATTTCAGAATCCGATCTTCAAATTCAAAACTTAAGATTAAGGGTGGAGAGATATGATCATATTTATCCTGTCATTATTTTTGATGGTACATAACGATAGTCGATAACAATTTAATTAATAAGATTTTTATGATGATATTTTTAACCTAATTATGCAGGTGGATGACAAGTATTTCTATGCAAGTGATAATAAAGATGGTAAAGTTTATGGATGGGTTAGTTCTACTAATCCACCATTAGGATTTTGGATGATTAATCCAAGTAATGAATATCGTACTGGAGGACCTTTTAGACAAGACCTTACTACACATGTTGGTCCAACTGTACTTAGTGTAAGTCATTAATTAATTAATTACTATTATATTATATTATATGATATGAAACTTGTTATTAATTTTTTTATTTATTCATAATTGCAAGATATTTGTGAGTACACATTATGCTGGAGAGGATTTAGCAATTAAATTTGGACAAGGAGAACCATGGAAAAAAGTTATTGGTCCTGTTTTTGTGTATCTAAATTCAAATGCTGCAGCTAAGGCAAATCCTTCTATACTTTGGAATGATGCAAAGAAAAGAGTATGTATTGATTTCAGTTTACGTGTCTTACTTTTCTTTCTGGTCCATCTTTTTATAAAATTTTTTTGACTATCTATAATTAGTACTCTTTTCAACCTCAACATTAAACATGACATTCTTATATATGTAACGATCGTGGTCCAACTGTTCAGGTATTGTCCTCTTTGGGACTAGTTCCACCTAGATTTGTCCCTTGGATTTTAATCCAAAAGATAGTCTGAACTGTTAATTCTGAACTCATTTTTATAATAAGGTTCTTAATAACTTTTCTTTTTCTCATTCTGATGTGAGATTTGCTTAAGGTATAACGTGAACTCTTTCTTTAGAGGTTTGCGTTTTGTCATGGACGTCACATTTTAATGCATTATACATTTTTCGTAAACTTTCTGCCCAATCACATTAACAAATTTTCAGATGAATCAAGAAGCTGCAAGTTGGCCTTATGAATTTGCAGTTTCAAAAGACTACATCAAATCTAATCAAAGAGGATCTGTTAGTGGCAAACTATTTGTTAATGACAGGTACATCTTTTTCCATATATATTAGCTAGCGGGGACGGGCTTTCCTATGGTAGTTCTGCTTCGGCCACTTAATGGCCGTCCCATACTAGGTTGATTTGTATAATATATAGCCAATATCCATAATACGAGGAGTGTCGATAAGACCTAGGATTCTTTTGACATAATATATAGCCATACACATATCTATAGTAAGATGAGTTCTGACTAATTGAGATTAAAGGTACTTATCTATATTTAGAATACTTAATATCAGAATAAATAATTCATATAATTGATTTAATTAATTTGAGATTGAAGCATAGTTGATTGATTATTTATTTTTGTGTTTTTGTTTTATAAGGTTTATCAGTAAACATATTGTGGCAGCATCCAATGCTTATATAGGATTAGCACCACTAGGAGAAGCTGGATCTTGGCAAAGGGAAAACAAAGTAAGGTTAATTAATTATATTATTTATAAAAAAATTGAAGAATATTTTAATTATATAGATCTATTAATTTTTTAAATTTCATTTCGTTTTATAATCTCCAGGGTTATCAATTTTGGACAAAAACCCACGGTAATGGAAACTTCATCATAGAAAAGGTCATATTTGGTACATATAACTTGTATGCAACAGTCCCAGGAATTCTCGGAGATTACAAATACACCTCAATTATAAATGTTACTTCAGGTTAATTTTACTTTCTTACTTAATTACTCACTTGTTATTTTTTCCTAATTCTAAACAATATTTTCTATTTTTTAATTTTTTTTTTCCGTGTACCTATATATAGGTTCAAATATTAAACTAGGTGTTTTGTTGTATAATCCTCCAAGAAATGGAGCTACAATTTGGGAAATTGGTGTACCAGATAGAACTGCTGCTGAATTTTTTATTCCAAATCCACCTCCACAATTCAAAGTTCACAAATACAAAAATAATTCTGAATCAAGGTAAGTTCCAAAAATTTACTTGTTATATATTTTAAATAAATTGTAAAATAATTGTTGTTTATTTACTCTATTTTGGTTTGCAGATTTAAACAATATGGTTTGTGGAAACAATATAGTGTTTTGTATCCTAAAATTGATCTTGTCTACAATGTTGAGACTAGCAAATATTCGAGAGATTGGTTTTATGCTCATGTTACTAGGTAAGCTCGTTTATACCGTTAAATATCTTTATAATAATGACATTTGTTTCAATATGTTTTGATTGCTATAGTAAAATGTCGTTATATAGAACATAACATAAAAGATCGATTCCAGAGAAAAACGTAACATGATTATTATAATGAAATTAACAAAAAAATTGGTGGATTTTTTTTTTTTGCAGGAAAATAGGAAACAACACATATAAATCTACTTCATGGAAAATTATATTTAATCTTGCCAATGTTAGTAATGCCTCAAATTACACTCTACAATTGGCTCTTGCTGCAGCTTCACAAGCTGAACTTCAAGTATGTATTTATATACCCTTTTTGATTACTTGATTTATATATTATTTCAAATATATGTTATATTGCTTGAACTCTACAAAAATATTACCTCTATCTCATTTGTATTGGAATCTTCAAAAGTTAATGTAGTTTTGGAGAATCTGATAGAAGTGTGACAACATTTTTGAATAGTGCAAACAAAATATGTGTATCTGTCATAACTAGGCTAACGTGACTAGATAAATTTTATTCGATATGACTTACATAAATCTTTTTTTTTCTTAAGGTTCGTGTCAACGATGAAAAAGCGCAAATGCCTCATTTTACAACAGGACATATAGGGGGAAGTAATGCGATTGCAAGACATGGAATTCATGGATTATATTGGATTTATAGCATTGGAATACAAGGCAAATTGCTGATCAATGGAGAAAACACAATTTTTCTTACACAAATACTGGCTCTTAGCCCATTTCAAGGTATAATGTATGATTATCTTCGTTTGGAAGGACCTCATCAGTAATAAAAAAGTTATTATTTTCGATCCATTATCTCTTCATTTTTGGTTATAGACATTATATTTAAAAGTAAAAACGATAAGATCCATGAGAAACATTTAAACTTGATTAATTTGTTGAGGAGAACGACAATAGTAAATCACTTGAGATAATTAAATTGACGCAGCATTTTAATAAAGTAAAAAAAAAGTAATATAACTAAAACTGAAAGGAAAAAAGGCCTAAAACATGTCACAACAAATTGTTAGCTAATTTACCATTCGAAACTTGCAAGCCAACCAACAACTCAACTACCAAAAATATTATGAAATTGTTTCTTACTTCTTTCTTCATTTGAAAACAATATAATATAATATAAAAATTGAATACCTATTTAGAAAATAGGTGTTATATAAAGAAAGAGTTTAACTTGTGCACATTGATAACTAATTTGAAAGATACCTTTTATAATAGGATACATCATTAATTAGAATTAAATTGAAATACACATCTATAAGGTATAAAAAAAACTCTATAACAAGAGTACTCCCTTCGATTTATTGTACTTGTCATATTTTTCTCTGTATGCCCATTTAAAAAACCAGTAATTTGACTAAATTATCCTTGATTACTCTTTGCTTAAATTTATACTACTATCTTTTTTCACCACATTATTAATAATATCAATCTCTTGAGTAAAGGAGGAAACAAATAATTAAATATTACTGAATTTTCTAAAATAACAATTATTTTGAAATAACATCTTTTTTAAAAAGCATGACAACTAAAATGGACCCGAATGAGTATATATATATATATATATATCTACATATACCTTTTAAAATGCAGGATAAATAAGGAAGGTATAATTCTAATTGAAGAAAAAAGAAAGATTTAGCATCTTGATTATAAAATAGATGACGTTTGCTTCGATAGCTTAATGATTAATTTTCTTCCTCATAGATACGAGCAAAAATCATATATATAAATCACAATATATTTACCTTTAAAATTTACTTAATTAGTAGTTTTCCTTTTTTTTTTTTTGGTTAGATGTAGTTTTCCTTCTATAGTCTCTTTTAAATAAATGATATGATATTATTATATAAACGTATGAGAAATTGTCTCTCCCAATTTTTTTGCCACAAGAGAAACATATGAGACTTTGAAGAAACAAAGAAACAAAAAATCCACAAAGAGGTATTTTGTTTGTGTTTTTTTTTCTTTTTTCATTTTGTTGGGCGCTATAGGATTATTTTATTCATCTTTAATCTTTTCGTGCCACTATTTCTATCTTCAATCACCCTTTTTTTCTTATTTTCTTTGACTTTTGTGAGGTTATACATTTACATTAAAATAGTATTTTATATTGCATGTTAAAGTCGTTTACAATACATTTCCTTCTATGGTGGGATGATGATGGAGGTGATGATGATAGTAGTGATGGAGAGAGACGGTGATTGCTGAAAGAGTCATATTTGTTCTTGAACTATGAAAAATGATTATATTTGCCTTTGAATTTTGTGAAAAATTCAAATTTACCCTCTATTTAGAATTTTAAATCCTTAGACCTTATTTATGTAACACATGATATCATTGAATTCTAAGCTTCCTCTCCTAAAAAATAAGGGCAAATTTATTTTATTTCGCATAATTCATAGGCAAATTAATGAGGAGGAAAATCTATTTCATTTCACATAGTTAACAAGTAAATACAACCCTTTACACCCCCCCCCTCCACACCTCCCCCCTTTGCATGTTAATGTTTGTTATATTTGTTTCCTTTTTTGTCTTTAAATGGACTTTATTTTGAGCCCACTTAATTTAATATGTTATAACATATTTGTTTGCAACAAATTTTAATGCATGCAAAACAAATTTTAATTACAAATAATTATAAGAAAATAAGAATATTTTATTAATAAATAGTGTGCGGGTAGTTTCCTTTCTTAATAATATATTTCTCAAATTTAGGATGATTTAGACTTTTTTGGAATTTATTTGATATTCATGTGAAGAAGATTCTTCAAATATTTGATTGATAAAAAAGTCTGATCATATCTTGATCTCTTAATGAATATTTCAAAATTTACGAAATATTCGAGATGCTTCTTCATGAAAACATATTACATTTTCTTTATACCTGAATTAGAGTTTATGACAGAATAATCTCTAAGAACCCTAACTAAAATTGAACTTGTCTGATAGAACCCCACAAAATTTCGTTATTTACAATATTGTACTTTACGATTTAAATAATTACAACTAATTTCACTTATTTAAATAATTATATATAGGTATAAGTCAAAAGAGTTGAACATAATTAACTACATTTTCTGTCCTTATGCTACATACGTCCGTGACGAACTCCTAATTTTAGCAACTCATGTTGTGACATTTAATTAATTTAATGGTTTCAGCAACCATAGTAGATGAATTAAGTAAATTATTATTCGTACCTTATATTTACATCAAATTAACAGATGTACCATATATATTTAATTAATTTATCTTACTCAATTAATATATATATTGTGAAAATGCAGAACATGGGGAAGAATATGCAACTAAGCTTATTATATGTTGTGGAGTTTACTATGGTTGCTTTTACATTGTTGTTGGTAGTTGATGGGTAAGTCTCTATTTCTTTTATTTAACTCTTAATCTATTAGTGTATTTTAACGTGTTATAATAAAGTTCTTTCACAACTTAGTGTGATTTAGTGGGAAAATCCAATTGTGGCTACAAGTATGATGAGGTGTATAGATATTGAGTGGAATAGTCGAGTAAATTCTTAATATGCTTACAAGTTGAGCTGAACACTATCGTAAGAGGTAAAAATGTACTTGGTATTATATTTGAAGATATAATTGAGGTGCGAGTAAGTTGATCCATATAACTTACTCATCAACAAAATTAATAAATGGGCACCCATCCAAAAGTTATTTTAATTTAAATAGATTAAATTGAAATAAGCTAAAATGTAGATCATAAATCAACCTCTTTTATTCTTACTCGGTATTAGAGCCAAGGTACATCCCTGTAGAATACACTCGTCATATATTCATTGATTTGGTATAAACAACGTGTCTGAATAAAGTTGAGATATCACAAAAGTTTCGATTTTGATTATGTGAGATATTTCTTCTTGTATAAATCTAAAACAGGGTATTTTCTGCATTTTAGTCCTTTTAAGTTGATAGAAAGAGTAATCTAATCTCTATGAAGATTTGCATACTGATTTGCTGTTTATTGTTCCGAAAACAGGAGAAGATTGATAGAAACGCCAATTGTTAGATTGGATATACAAACTAACCAAGTAAATATATACCTCTAACTATCCATCGTTCTGTTTACCTGCCTAAACTTGCCAGTACATTTCTAATTGTACATCATGTTTAATTGTTGTACTTTGATCCCTGATTTTTCACATGTTGTCGCGTGTTTATCTTTAGGTGACGATGAGCAATGGCATTGTCAATGTTACATTATCAATACCATATGGTCTCGTTACGAGCATATCATATGGTGGAGTCAACAACTTACTCGCGACTCAAAATGTTGAAAAAAACAGAGGGTATATAACCTATAAACATCTTACTCCCTTTGTTTCAACTTGTTTGGCTTAACCAATGACATTTTTCAGGTATTGGGATATTTTTTGGAATCGTACAACATCTAAAAGAGCTCGAAAAAAGTAATCTTTACCTTTTAGTCACAAATAAGATACATGAAATTAGATCATACAAAATTATAAGTCCATTTTTTGCGTAAAATCTAGGTTCTTGGGAAATAGTTTTGAGGTCATTATGGATACCGAAAACCAGGCAGAAATTTCGTTTAAGAGTACATGGAATGCTTCTCAATCTGATGAACTTCCATTAAACAGCGACTTAAGGTGAAGTGTACTGTAAAAGCTCAATTTTTTCGTATTTTTGTTTTCAGAAATCTCAATTTTGTATACGTATGCTAAATCGATGAATTTTCAGGTTTGTGATGTTACGAGACACACCTGGATTTTATACGTATGCTATCGTTGAACGTTTAGAAGGATGGCCCCTTGTATATATCGAAAATTTAAGAGTTGTCTTCAAGCTTCAACAAGACATGTACTGATTTAAACTTTCTCATCATTTACTTAAGATATCTCTGATTTTGAGCCGAGGGTCTTTTGTAAAACAACCTCTCTATCTCCACGAGGTAGAGGTATGGTCTGTGTACACTCTACCTCCCCAGACCCGACCTGTGGGAATACAATGAGTATGTTGTTGTTGTATAAAACTTAATGTTTTTGTTTATAGGTTTCATTACATGGCTATCTCGGACGAGAGGCAGAGGATCATGCCAATGCCAGTGGATCGAGAGACGGGGAAGGTGCTTGATTACAAAGAAGCTGTTCTTTTGACAAATCCAACTAATCCAAATCTAAAAGGAGAGGTAAGATCCATCGTATTCTAGACCATGTATCTGTTGAACGTGTGACCAGATCATCTAAAAGCTTAATATGTTATATGAGACACTTTTATTTACTTAATTATATCGTCAACAATACCTATATGTTAAGGAGGAGATTGAAGGTTTTTTAGTATACGAACATGTTGTCCTTCGTCCTAGATAGAAAAGGGCAGCTCGATGTACTAAGGTCCTACTATGCACAGGGTCAGAGAAGGGCCGTACTACAAGGGTCTGTTATATGCAATTATTTTTACCTTTTATTTCTGCAAGAGTCTGTTTCCACAGCTTGAACCTGTGACTTCCTAGGAAGTCATAAATTTACATCTACAAATTTGCAGGTGGATGACAAATACTTTTATGCAACTGATAACAAAGACGATAGAGTTCATGGATGGGTAAGTTCTACTAATCCTCCAGTAGGATTTTGGATGATAATTCCGAATGATGAATTTCGTACTGGAGGACCTTACAAACAAGATCTTACTTCACATGTTGGTCCAACTGTACTTTCTGTAAGTACATTTGAACTAATTATATACGACTTGTTTGAAACTCAGACGTACTAGTAATA